TAAAATTTTCTCTAGAACTGGCAAATTTATTGGGACTTTTAGGACCGTTTAGTACCGCTTAACATCCCTATAAAAAAATTGTAGAATTGTAGATAAATAAAATGAAGTGGTAGATAAATTCATAATAGGAAATGCTCTATTAGCTATAGGAGATTTATATGGACCTTCTGGATTTATTTTTTTTATCTGGTCGAAAATCGAAAGGTTACACAGTAATATTCAAAACTGAAATCTTCAAGTCGAAGTAAGTTTCGACTTACCGTTACGAAGTTAATTGAAATTAAGAACACATTGTAATTTTTTTTTACTAATAATATTTTTATTTAATTAAGTGCGATCTACATAGTTGATCATGGTCAGGTTCTAGACAAATCGACCTCTTGAATTGATGGTATAAAAATGGTGGATTGCTAACCGAATTGTAAGAGCATGGCATTAAGATTCTAGTTTAGTAATTTCCCGATTTTTCCTTAAATAAGCCGTAGTAATTTCGCAACGATAATCATTTGACTCCCGAATTACAGAGAACCGATGCCGAGACAGTACTTGATAAAATTAATTTTATTAAATAATTCTTGCATCATATTTATTGATTTATTAAAATTTTGTGCTACCTTTTTCATTCATTTATAAATATAAACTTGTAACAAATGAGTCTATATTTGCTAAAATCGATTTTTTTTTCAAATACAGTAGAAATGTAATTTTAATAATATTTATAAATGATTCAATTATGTATAATATGAAAAATTTAGTAAAATTAAATATTTTTAAAGAATATAAAAAATTTAATCTTCATTTTTTATTTATAATTTAAATTATCATTAAAAGCATCCTATTAAATATAATATCATAATTACAATTTAAATTAAATTAAATTATGCGCAATTAGTTATATTATAAACGACAAGGTTTATAAAAAAAGAATTTTTGAATAGTATTTTTTTATTCCGATAAATGTTACACAAATAATGCAAAATACAAAAGCAATATTTCGATTGTCAATTGATTATAAATTTTTTTTTCTTTTTATAGAAACAAAAGGTCTTTCATTCCGTTTTTGTTTATGTCGCTCAAAATCAAAGCCTTAGAAGATCTTTCTTTTTAAGGCTTAGAAGTACATGTGTAATTTATCCTTACGAGGAAAGATTATTATGAAAGTTAAGAATATAAAGGGTCAATGCTGAATAATTAACTAATTTTTATTTTGATATTCGGAAATTAGAGATTTAAACGTAAAATGTTTTTAAAAAACCTAAAAAAAACAAAAGTCTTGGAAAAACAAAATAATGAATCAGAGCATAGCGAAGAGAATTCTGTATTAGAAAATCAAATCGTTCAAAACTTAAGTATTGATTTTACAAAAAAAGGAGAGGAATTATTAAAGCTAAATTCTCGATTTAAAAAAAAGATTAAAAAGCTGGATACAGAAGCCAAAGTTAAGCAAGAAAATATCAATCATTATAAAGAAATAATTAAAGGACAAGCAAAAGAAATCAACTTGTTGGAAGAGAAGATAAATCAATTAGTAGAAACGATCGGAGAACTAAATACAAAAGATAAAGTCCAAGAATTAGGAACTATTTATGACGATACTATTATTAGTTTAACCATTACAGAAACTAATAAGAATAAGTTCTTATACACCTCGAAAGGATTACATAATTATCGAAAATTAGCAACTCTTTGCTGCAAGTATGTTAAAATAAACAGATTACCAACTTTACCTAGTAATTTGACAAGTCTCGATTGTTCCTGGACTCAAATAACTAGCTTACCAACGTTGCCTAACTCTCTAAAAACTCTTGATTGCTCCGGTACTTTAGTAACTAGCTTACCTATATTACCCGATTCATTAACAACACTCCGTTGCAATGATACTGTAATAACTATGTTACCCACCTTACCTGAACACTTGGAAATTTTCGACTGTAACTATACTCCGATAACTACTTTACCGACTTTACCTAATTCCTTAAAAGAACTCGATTGCTTTGATACTCAAATAACTAGACTACCAACTTTACCCAACTCATTAAGAACACTCCGTTGCTATGATACTCCGTTAACTAGCTTACCAACCTTACCTGAATCCTTAACAGAGCTTTATTGCTATTATACTCCATTAACTATATTACCAAATTTACCTAACTCCTTAAAAATACTAAACTGTTCTGAAACTCATATATCTAGATTACCAAATTTACCTAATTCCTTAACTCATATCTACCCTAAATGGTTAAAACTTCATATATAGTTCTCAGGTATTAACTTACTGTTTATATTTAGATTTTTTTTTTATTGAAAAGAATTTTTTCATTAACCTGGTAATTTTTTTTCTATTGATTATTAAAGTTGGGTGGTTTTGATATTTTGAAGAAATCAGAAAAATTACCAACGCTTCAACAATGTTTTCCTACAAAATTTGTTATTTTTGGGATTTTGTGCGTCATTATTCTTGACCGTTGGGATTCTGGTCATGCCGGAATTCTGAATATTTTATTTTTATGAACTTGGGTTGTCGGTATAAATATGCCGGAATTCTAGAACGTAGGGATGATTGTTCTTGGATTTGCCACTTGAAGCGTTCCGTGGAAAATAATTAAGTAATTGGTGGGCTCGCCAGCTCCGAAGCTCTCATAAATAAATTAATTTAAGAAAAAATAAAATAAAATAAATGATAAGAAAATCACACTCCAAAGCATAATTTAAAAGGTATCTTTTTCTGAAAATTTCTTAAATAAATTATTTTAAAAAATAAAATAATAAAAAATATCCAGCTTTGAAGCTTTTTTTAAAAAAAACCCACTATCTATGCCGCAGTATTTATGTCGCAAATGTAGATAACAAATTTTAAATAATAATAAGTTAAAGTAATATTTTCTTATCACATAATTTCTTGCCTTACTATTATGTTTTCTAATTGAAGTATCTTAATAATGAGTCATTGCAATCTGCTTCGGTTACAACGAACATTATAACAGCAATCAATTGTAAGAATTGTATTTGACGTTATAATTATTTTAATTTAAAATTGTAAATAAAAAAAGAGAGAGATCTATTTTGAACAGAAACAATTAGTATATAACGTTAATGATATGGGAGCCGTGCTATTAAAATGGGTTATGTGAACCTTTCAACAAAAAAATGAGATTTTTGATTCATATTATAGTATATTAAATAAACTTTATTTGTTTAGACTTTTAGAAGATATTAGCTTAATAATATTAGGTCGGCAAAAATGCTTAAATTTCTGTGTAACGTCAATCAAAAATTTCTTCTTTGAACGGGTCGGGTTCGATTGTTTGACAGTTTTGCAGTTTCGATAATTAAACATAATTCTGCTAATTTTAACAGGATTGATTTTGGCCAATAGAAAGCAAGTATTAACCTTCACGTCAATTTTTACAAAAATATAATTTTGCGACGAAACATATTCTTCGAGATTTATTGCATGTAAATAAGAATATCTCAAAATTACAAAAATATATTAAATCGACTCATAATAATTTGAAAGAAATTTATAACAAGTCTTATATTGTCAAATCATATTAGTTATATTAAATTTTTTAAATCGTCCAACGTTTCAATTGACACATAAGAATTTATTTAGGGAATTAACACATTTCAGTGTAAATTTGTAATATCTAGCTTGGTAAAGGTTTTTAGTTTACAGCTCAAACTTATTTATGACGAGCTTAAGATTGTACATTTTATCAGGACTGAAATTTATATAATGTCATTGCAAAAATATTCCGTTAGCAAACGACTTTATACTTCAGCGCAAATTTTATGGCGCAGCAGATTTTCCATAACGTAAAGTGCCGAAGTTATAAGTGTATGGGTAAGTTTAGTAGTTAGTATTCTAATTTCATTATATTAATGTCAAATGACGATCCTAATAAACTTACTATTGTAAAAAACCTAATTAATTTTCGTCTACTGTTTATCACTACTTCACTTACTAAATAAGTATAAATCATTCAATTAATAATATTTTTGGGCGTGAGACACAATTTCTTAATAAATCTCCTTGTTTTTTGTTTATAATCATAAAACATCTCTCATTCAATCAGAAGCATTTTTATTTAGGGAATTACTATATGGCAAAAGCTGGTATGAATAAATATAAAAAATATTTTTTTTTTTAATGGACGATAAATAAAAAAAAATTTTTAAACTTGATAGTTGGCATCGATTTGGGAACATCATACTCGTGTGTCGGTGTTTGGCAAAATGACAATGTTGAAATTATTGCCAATGACTACGGTAGTTTTACGACGCCTTCGTATGTCGCTTTCACCGAAGAAGGACGTCTTATTGGAGATTCTGCTAGAAATCAAGCTAGCATGAACCCTTATAATACTGTATTTAGCTCTAAACGTCTCCTTGGCTGTAGGTATAGTGACCAAGAAGTTCAATCCGATATGAAGGTAAATCATTATTGGTTAAACGAATCCATCATTCATATAGATATACAGTATAGATATATATATATAAATATTATTAGCACTGGCCTTTTAAGGTCGTCGATAAGAGTGGAAAACCATGCATCAGAGTAGAATTCAAAGGCGAAATTAAGGATTTCACACCCGAAGAAATTTCTTCTATGATATTGGTAAAGATGAAGCAAACTGCAGAAGCTTATCTTGGTACAAAAGTTAATAATGCCGTCATTTCGTCAACAGCTTACTTTAATGACTCTCAACGTCAATCTATAAAAGATGCTGCTATGATCGCTGGTTTAAATGTACTACGAATAGTTAATGCACCGACTTTAGCAGCTATGACATTTGGTTTTGATAAGAAAAATATTTGTGAACGAAACGTTCTTATCTTAGATTTAGGTGGTGGTACGTTTGATGTTTCTCTCATAACTATCGAAGAGGGTATTTATGAAGTAAAAGCCGTTGCTAGTGACACACATCTTGGCGGCGAGGATTTCGACAATCGGATTGTAAATCATTTCATAAAGGAATTCAAACGCAAATTTAAAAAAGATCTTATAACGAATGCACGTGCTCTCCTTCGATTAAGATTTGCTTGTGATCGTGCAAAACGTAAACTTTCATCATCAGCACAAACTTCCATAGAAATAGATTCTTTTTTCGAGGGTATAGATTTTTATACCTCCTTAACACGTTCTAGATTTGAAGAATTAAATAAAGACTTGTTCCGATCCATAATGGAACCTGTTGAAAAAGTACTTCGAGATTCTAAAATCGACAAAAGTCAAATTCATGAAATTGTTCTGGTCGGTGGTTCAACACGTATTCCCAAGATTCAAGAGTTGATATCAGAGTTTTTTAATGGTAAAGAACTAAACAAATCTATTAATCCTGATAAAGCAGTGGCGTATGGTGCTGCCGTTCAAGCTGCTATTGTAACTGGTGATGCTTCTGAAAAAACTCGAGATATAATATTATTGGATGTCGCCGCTTTGTCTCTTGGTATTGAAACTGCTGGAGGTGTCATGAAACCGCTTATTAAGCGTAATACTACAATACCTACGAAGAAATTCGAAATTATTTCAACAGATTTTGAAAATCAATCGGAATTGCTTATTCGAATTTTTGAAGGTGAACGTGCCCGTACTAAAGATAATAACTTGCTTGGTGAGTTCGAATTGACCGGAATTCATCCAGCACCAAAGGGTGTTCCACAAATCGAAGTCGTATTTGATATTGATGTAAACTGCATCTTAAACGTATGTATTAAATATTCAACTTTCATTATAATTGCTGCAAAACAATATGTATTAATTTGAATTAATTGTAGGTATCTGCTGTTGATAAAACAACTGGACGATCGAATAAGATAACCATCACGAATGACAAAGGTCGATTGTCAAGGGAAGAAATCAGGCGTATGGGCACGTAATCAATTCACGAAATTTTATAACGATGATTTTATGTTATAATGTTTTATTAATCAAGTCTGTTTGTAAGAATAGTTATCGAAGCCGAGAAATATCGTTATGATGATGAGAAAGTTGCCAGAACGGAACTGGCACGAAATGAATTAGAAAGTTATGCATATAACTTACGTACAACACTTGAAGTAAGCTTACTTCATATTTACCATACATAGATTTTCCAAATTTAAATCATCTCATATCAATAGGACGAGAAATTTCCTATTAATTTACTTAAAGAAGCGATTCAACAATCGATTACATGGCTTGAAAACAATCAATATGCAGAGATGGATGAATATTATGAGAAGAAGGAATTACTGGAAAGCATTGCCAACCCAATTATGATGAAGCTTTTTGATGAGCGCAGAAAATGTTGACACTGAAAGAAAGTTCTAAAATTTGGGGGTATATATGATTGAATTTAACTTTTTCTTAAGAATCGTGACTAACGATTATTAATTTAATATTTAGATCAATAGTTGAAGAAGCTGATTATATTTATTTTTATACAGCAAATTCTCATTATACCAAAGTTTCATGACATTACACATCTTTTAATAAAAAATTAATTAACACTATCAATGTCAAGAAAATCATTTGAGCAAAGATCTTAACATTTTCAATCCGTTATAATGTAATTGATATTGGTAAATGTTACATGTTTTTTTTGAAAACCAAATATTTATTTTACGAATATGAATAAAATTGCTTTAATGATCATTTTTCATGTTATTAATACTTTATTGTTTAAAACCATTCAATGGCACCGTTTTTATGTTATATATTTAAGAATAAATATTTTATCACATAATACCTATGGCTTATTCAAGTTAAATCTATTAACTCTGAGGCATTGTTGGACTTCTGACAACTGTCAGATATATATTTCGAGCCTTTATGACATCGATTTAGTAATGTTTGCTTAATTGGACCGGGTCGGGTACATCCGGATGATCCAAGATGGGCCAGATATTTGGGTAGAAACTTTTTAGTTGTAGGTGGGTAACCCGTTATCAATTTATTATTTTCGTAATCCGGATTGATTTTTACATAAATCTATATGATCCGTTAAATAAGTTTTACTTATAAAATAAATTATTCACACAGTTTAAATTTTGCTGTTTATGTGGATTAAAAAAGACAGTTTGCCAATTTGAAAAAAGAAAATTGTTTGTGTAAATAAAAATATTAAAATGATTATAATTTGTATTATTTCAATATCTGCTACATCCGTTCCAAACAGATTTAGTCTAATGCAAAATTTAGGTTACTTACAAAGAATCTGTTTAACACAATTAATCATTTGTTATAGAGTATTAGAAAAGAAATCGTTCACATGTCAAAGTTTGGACCATGATAACGCGATGACCCAAGCGTTTGGTAACCAGGGTCGTGTTTTTTTTAGACGGGTCCAATCCTAATCCGTGAAGAAGTCATTGGAAAGAAAAATTTTTTATAAATAAAGCGATGACCCAAGCGTTTGGTAACCAGGGTCGTGTTTTTTTTAGACGGGTCCAATCCTAATCCGTGAAGAAGTCATTGGAAAGAAAAATTTTTTATAAATAAACTTCGTTTTGCTTTTTCGATAGGTAGAATTAGGAATATAGTTTCCTCTCACGTAGTGAATTCTTTAATATAATCTTGTCCTTATCTATTCATAAAAGTTTAATGTAAATTTCCAAATGACCGAAATTCGCCACTCGTTTTCTTTGATCGACCGATATCGTTATTACAACCTTTGGAAAAACACTGCTTGTTTCTAATATCAACAATCTTTCATTTTAAAGTAATTAGATTAAAGTAATCCAAAAAATGGTAAATAATTTAAAATAAATTTTAATTGTAAAAAAAAAAAATTGTAAAAATGAAATGATTTGAATTGTCAAAGCCGTTGAATAATGAAAATTATCCATCCGTCGAAATTTGAAAGCAACTAACCTTAAAGCCCTAGCTTTTTTGGGCTAATCAGTCATCTCCATTCCTTAGATTCAGGTTGGAATTTATTTTTATTTTATTTTTTTATTTTTTATTAATTTTACGAAAGCAAAGTTGAGTAATTATTTTAAATATTTTTATTTGAATATATTTTAATGTTTATCTAAGGTTTATTTGTAATAGTAGTCAAATTTCAGTTTCGAATTAAAAATATCCTATTCAAATCAGCAATATAATTTTTTTAGTACGCGAATAATTTGTTTTATAGTGCATCTATTAGGACCTGATATGGTCGACGCATGACGTTGTAATTACGTGACATTCTTATCCAATCATCGCTATCGGCTGATATTTATACTGAATATTAACAGTTTCCTTCACTTTAAATTTTTGAAAGAGAACGATCCCACCTATTTTTATTCAACTTTTAACCCGAAGCGATCCAATTTTAAAAAAAAAACCAAACAACAAAAATAAAAAATAAAAAATAAAAATCAAAATCAAAATCAAATAGAACTTAAAAATAGAAACAATGAGAAAAAAATGATTACTATTTAAATCAACGAAACCGAAGCGATCGAACCTTAAAGCCTAAGCTAATAATGGAGCAAAACCTAAGAAAAATAAATAAATAATAATAATAAAAACAAGAAACCGATCTCACGTGATTTGTAAAAAATTATTAAACTAATCTCATAAAAAAAAAATATGTCACTTGGAAGGTTTAGATCTCATATAATGTAATTTTCGAGTCTTTTCGATACGATACTTTACTTTTTGGTGACTTTAATTACGTAAGATCTAATGTTTGCGTATAAAAAAAAATCATTTCCTTTTATGTTTATTTTATTCGGTCCATAGCGGTAGTTATTATGATTATTTAATCTTATTAAATGTTTCACATAGAATAATTATCAAAACTTGGATCCCCGATATGTTATTTATATGATTAACGCAAGTTAATAATTTTTTTTTAAAAAAAAAAATTCATTTTAATCACTACTGTCTGTTAAATAATAGTATTCGAATTGCAAATGTTAATTATCTTATCTTTGAAATCAGAATTTATTAATATTAATTTATTAATAATTTTTTTTTTACTTTCATTCAATTAAATCGAATTATTTTGGTTTCTGATAAATTTACCAAATATTATTTATTTATTTTTAATGAAAATCGCAAACTATCTTTTTTAGTTTTGTTTTTTTTAAAGAAATCATTGTATTGCCAAATTAAGGATGCACACACACATTTAATTTTACGGGCAGGCCCGGGCTGGCATCAAAATTTGTATCATAAATCCGGGTCGGGCCGGTTTTCTAAATAAGATGCAAGAATTAATTCATAAATTTCTAATTTTATAAAGAATTATTTAATCGTTCACCAGATTTGTAAATTCTTTAATGAAACTTAATATAAACAAAGATATCTTTTACTAATAATCGCTTATTTTGGTGTTTAAAATAATACATCATAGATGCTTCTTTTTTTCCAAAATTTATAAAAGAATTCGATATAAATTATGAGGAAATTTGCAATTTAATCTCTAGACATTTGTATTTATTCAAGTCTTGATAACTTTGTAATGGCAACAGAATGTTTGTATATGTTAAATCTTATACGTAATTTACAAGAACCCATCCCTCAATATGTATTAGGATGCATACCTGCAATAGCAACAATAGGTGTAGCGCCTTGGGATGATTTCATGGACAAGACAATATGGTTAATAAGATGTCTTGGTTGTCCATTTACGGGATTATTTTACACCTGCTGCGTAAAGAGCGACGTGACATCATTGTGCGCATATTGGCTTCCTTCAAAATGCTTTATTAGTATTGACAACCACACAAAAATCGTATGCAGACCTTTCGGAGTACACGCCAAATTCATTGAACACAAGAAAATAATGAAAAAATGTGTCGCTAAGGCATCAGTATTGGAAAGATTGTCGTCGTTGGTGTCATTATACTATATAATGATTGGTATAGTTTCGGGAATATACAGGGTGGCAGGACCGACTATCTGTGATGAGGATTGGCCAAGTATACCTTTAGCATTATCTTGGACAATACCGGCAATCTATAGAAGAACAATTCGAAATAATCTAGTAGCTTTTGATCCTGAAAAAAAATTAAGAAATAAATTGATAACTGTAAGCGAACTAAATAATGTTAATAAATCCAACCATTACGCCCGTGTTGCTTTCACTGCTCTAATGTCAATAGTAATACCTTGGATAACAGTGCTCTTAGCCTATTTCACACCCCCAATCGGATTTTTTTGTCGCAGTAGATATCTCTCGATAATATGTTCAATATGGTCATTCAACAGTATTCTGGCGTTGTTAAGCCATTTGAGAGGAGAAAAAAGCGTAAATGGAAATAAGTACATTCATGCCTTTTTCTTCATTTGTGGCGTTCTAGTAGCATTTCTTTTGTTTATGTTAGGCTTGCTAAGCAATCAGAATTCATGGTGGATAGGCCTGTTCGGCAAAGATTGTGATATTTCGAGCGCATGCCCGGTTTCTTATTGAAACATTAGAATGTAATTAGTAAAATAATTAATAATTTTAAAACGCAGTTTTGCAATTTCTTCACTCGTCATACCTCTTATTTTTAATAGCTAATCTCGAATATAGTTCCCTAATTATGGTTAAAAATTACAAGAGAAAGATGTGCCGAAGAAATTTAAGCATTTAAAAACTTTCAAATTTTTTTGCGTTGTAAATTATATAAATATATATATAAATTTATGTTATATTTTACATGTCATGTTTATATTATTATTGTACAAAAAAATTTTTTTTTATTAAAAGATTTTAAAATGTAATTTGTAAGAGAGTATTTTGATAACGGATATTTTTTTTTTGTTGTACCTAAATAATATATTTTTTTTCACTGTTACACAGACCTACATAATCAATAAAAAATTATTATTATTTTTTTGTTTGAAGATTAATGTAATTTAAATTTTACTAAACGGCAACAAGACGAGAATTCAGAGAAAGACAGAAAGAGAGTACGAGCAGAATACGTGGAAATTGAAGGAGTTTGAGATGGGAAAGACGTAAATTTTCGGAATACGCTGAGGAAAAGGAAATAAGAGCTTGATGAAGTGGAGTGAGTATCTCAAAAAATAAAAAAAATAATGAAAATCGTATAAAGAATTATTTTAATTCTTTCCACTTTGATTGATATGTGTTTTACTGTTTTAAATTGTTGAATAATAGTGATCGGACTCGTGTCAACTCGCGACTCGTGAAATAAACTAAGAATACTCGAATTTTCAAATATTCGAGTCACGATAATAAAACTTATAAAATCTTTAAATCTAACTAATCAAGACAGAAAAAAATAATAATTTTTTTAGATCCAATAAATTATTTTTTGGTATCCTAAGTTTACGAGCGTGAAATTATGGGCCATCCTAATACGTAACTCCACACTCTCAAACAAATTGAAGAAATCATTATATTCATTCTGATAAAAGTTACAACCGAAACTCTTAAGTGAACAACCTCCTGAGATGAAGTGAGCTTTGACTATCATCTTCCTCATGTGATGTGATTCTCGTTCTTCAAAAAATTTGTAATTTAGTTTGATAATGGTCTCTATAAATAACCTGACTATTAATAATGGACAGATAAAAAGGTTGCAATCACAAGAAAGTACATCTTATTAAATTGCACTGTATGTTTAAGAAAACTTTGTAATAATATAACATTGTTGATTAACTATTTTGAATATTGAATTAATTTACGAGTTAACATTCACTCATTCGAATTCATGACAATTGAGTTATTCGAATTACAATTGACGAATCCGATCACTATTGACTAACTATAATTATTTTTTTATTTATTGATATCTATTTTACGTATGAATTTTTATCCTTGATATTACAGAAAAATTTACATAATATATTATCTGTTTTCTTCTTTTCTTCTGATGTTATAAATTTTATAAATTTTTCTGTATTCATTTTGTGTTAAATTGGTTCATTATTATTTAACTTACCATTTTATTATCCTCAATTTATAAAGTAAAACTGAAGATTTTAATTTGTAGGATATTGCTATAACACACGAAATAAAATTATGGAATTACCAATGAATCTGAGAACAATGTTTAAGAAACCATTATCAAGGGAATCTATCCTTTCCTTATATTGGAAACGTCATTTCTGAGGTTCTTCTCCATTATTTTTTTTGTTAGATCATTAAAGTTAATGATGACAATGTTATGTCATTTCTGGCAACGTACATTTCGGAATTTTACGAAAGTAGGGACCATATGAGACAAAAGCGTCGAGAAAATTGTTCATTTTTAGACATTGACTGGAGGAGTGCTATTCAAAGGACAAAATACTCATCAGTACGAAGATTTCTGGTAGAGGAAGCTTGTTTAAATGTTTTAAACTCGTTGAAGGATATTTATATAAGTCGAAGCAGGCAACATTACTTTTGATAACACTACAGTATTTCATGTTCTTTATATTCCAATATCATTCTATTTTCACTGGTAGCCCGTAGAAAGGTGATGAGTATATAGAGTAAATATAATTTAAAGAAGAATTAAGAAAGAATTTCGTAAGAGACAATCGTTTCACGTATAATAATGCTTATTTCGATTTAAATGCATGTAGCTTCGTCACAAAAAATTTTTTCTGAACTTGGGGGATTGGATTTACAATAATCTTGACAAATCCTTTGTCATGTCATTTTTTTAAAAAAAAAATAAATGAATTGTCGAAACAATTTTTAAGTAATCTATCGTTCTTCGAGCTACAATTTCTTGAATTTAACAAAAATATTTGTACGGATAAAGGAGTTGTATTAATTTAAATTATGGGAAACATTTTATTTGACTTGTGCAAAATCCAACTTTTGTTTCCGATCCCGATGTAAAAAAAAATTTAAATATGATTATGAAAGAAATTTGGTCCAGTGTTGTTGTTAAATTTGGATAATCGACACTTTAATGTTTCGGGCGAAAAGTTTCGGATTTGAGAAAATGGTTTCGTCCGAAACACTGGACAATAATTAAAAAATGCTGTCCATTGTAGCGATGGAAATAGGAAACGTGTACATTGTTATTAATTTATATTTATGTATTTACAATTAAAAAGATAATATTATTTATATCTTTTTAATAAGGATTCGTATTGCCAATTATCACATGATCCCGAATTTCACAAATCGAAATCCCGACTTATTTTACATTATACTTCAAATATAATTTAATAAGTATGAAACTCTTTAAACTCATATTACTTTAGTTAATAAATTATAGAAATTTAATTTCCTACAAAAAATAATACATAATTATTCGATACAATATAACATTTTAAGTTAATCGTCATAAATTAGTTTATACTCTTTCTCGTGAAGCATTCAAACTTATGGAGATAATGGATTAGGCGTTTTTACACTTGCATATGACATTTGAAAGAAACATATAAACAATAATCGTCATTTACTGTTTATTGTGATTCAATGGATAATTTCGTTTGCATTCTTCTTCTTTTGTTTTGTTCAATGATGGAGAGTGTCGTTGCGACATGATGTACAAGAATAATACTTTTAAGTATTAATTTAAAAATTTCTATTAAAATCTATGTTTCTAACAACTAATGTTATTTTAAATGAAAAATGAAATAGTTTAGATCAATTTAGTAAAAAAAAAATTCATAATTCTTTACTTATTAAAAAATATTGAGGATCTAATTCACTTAGGAATTTTTGAAAAAATTTTCAATTTAGTCCCTTTTCGTAGCACTCACCCCAAATACTCAAAAGTTTAATTCTTAATTTCGGTTAAATCTTAAATTCGAAGAGAAAAGATAATCAAATATTTTTTTTAACGGTTAAACAAATGGTATGAATTCGATTCCTTAAATGGTATTTGTCAAATTAATTTTAAATTGAATATATATGTAAAAGTAAATCATTTATTGTACCAAAATAATAATAATATTTTATTTTCAATTGATGTGTTTTGCCCTTAAGTAAGAAATGAATCTTTTATTTGAAATAAAAAAAACATCTAAATATTTTAATTGTCATATTATTTGGTTTAATCAATATTACAAATCGGTTAAAAATTCAATTTTAAATCATTGGTTTGCAAGAAAATACAAATATAAAATCGCAATTAATAACGTCTAGTCACGAGACTTATACGAAAGAACCGATGAAAAAGTACTACCGGTGTAGTATATCACTGAATTAAATTTTTAAAAAATATATCAGTATATCCATTCGTTTTTAAATGTCTTTATGACAAGATTAGGACACCTTTTAATTTTTTTAAATTTTACCGTTTTCTGTACGAGAATTATATTTAAATATCAAATTTTGAATAAAGAATTCATTCATCGTAAAATATCTTCCAGGATATCTAGTGACTTACAATCATTTATTTACACTATTCTAATTTGTAAAAGAAAATTGTAGTTTACGATCAAATAAAATGTTTGATTATTAGATGTCTTACGTACTTACTTATTATATTTTGTTAATAAATCAAATATAAATTTAGACCAAACTAATTTTAATTTTATAAATAATTTTATTGAATGAATAAATATAAATTATTTGATATTTTCGATCTCAATTACCATGTCGTCTTGACATTTTCTTTTAATTAAGTTTACCATTAATTTCATACTTTTCTAAGAGGATACTAATTTCATCTCTAATCTTAATTACAAATTCTTCGTTATCTTTTTTAGGATCGTCCAACTTAGCCAGCTTTCTTAATTCATCAGAAATAAATGGAGAATTATACAATGCAGGATTATTGTCTATATCTTTAATCTTTTGTTGTACTTCCTCAATCGG